CTGCTTCTTCAACTCCAGGGCCGTGCGGATAGCCGCTCGGGCCGGGGTCTCACCGCTCCTCGAAGCAGCCGGTTGCTCCGTTTGCCAGCCAGCCGGCAATGTGCGCTGCGTAGCATAGAGGGCCAGCAGGTTGCGCCCGCTGCAGGAGTCCTCCTCTGCAAGCTGGATCGGCGCTACCTTCTCGTCTTGCAGGAAGTTGTGCAGATGAAAAAGAGCCGTGATGAGATCCGCGCGTCCTCCGAACTGCACACGGAGAGGTCGCCACAGAATGCCCCAAGTCGAAACCAGGATGCCGAAGCTCTGCTCGATCTTGACACGAAGCTGGCTCAGGTGGAAGTTGAACGAGTCCTCACCCGGCGGCAGGAGCCTCCCAGGGTACGGCGTCAGAAGCTATTCTCCGATGGGGTAGGCGGCGTCACCAATGATGTGAAATCCGGCGGGCAAGCGGGCGACGGCCTTGGCGAGGGAAGATCGATTCCATGCCACCCAGTCGTTCGTGGAGCCTGGAGAGATCGCCGACATTGCGCAGAACCGGTAGTCGGCGGTGCACATCGCTTGTACGTTGATGCCGTACGCAGACTTGCTGCCGGAGTAGTACGCGATGACGTTGGCGGTGTCCTTCGCACACGGAGCCTTGGCCTTGATGAACAGACCATCCACGGCGGCGACGATCCAGGAGAAAATGCCATCGGTGCTCCTATCCTGCATTTGTAGACGGCAGACACGAGGGCGGGAAAGTAGCAGTGCCGGGAAGGGGAAAAAAATTAGTCGCGAGATGGACGTTGACGAACTTCGGTAAATTGCGTTCGGCTGTTCGTTGTGTGGGTTGATGTCGTGTGCGACGGCGCCATGACCAGCAACGGTGCACATACCGTGTTTGCTAATCCTAATATTGCGTCAGGTTCAGCGGTAAAAATGTACCAGGGTATCTCAGAGCCACGTGGTTGAAAAAAAAGTTGCCGGGCCACTGTTGCGGGGCGGAACCAACACGGCCAGCATACACTAATGATGACACAAAAAAAAAACATTTATTTGTAAAAAGGCCATTTGTACAAAGACCAACAGCTGGCGAACCACCCGGGACCCGGGAGTTGTTTATCGATGAAAGGCATGCTGACCACGATGACAATCCGAACTTGTATCCGCTGGGGACGACATTTTTTTCCTGCGTTACCGTCGAAGGCTGTGTATAGGCCTCCCTACACTAAACCGGCTGGAAACGCCAGACGTAATTAAAAAAAAAACATCCCGCAGCTGGTCAAGAGAATGCCGCCAAGAATAACCCACAGCAGCAGTAATGACCACCGTTAGGCCTCACCTTGAATCTGTTGGCATTTCGCATGCAGCCTTCCTCGGTCAGGGGGAAGTCGAATGCCCCAACCGCCAGGCGTCTTGTTGATGGCGTCGATCACCGACCACAAGATCTGGTGCGTGGTCGGCACCGACAAGCCAAACATGAGGGCAACATCCCAGTAACTAGCGCCAGCCAGGATCCTCAACGCCACGGCAACGCGAACTTCTACAGCTATGGCCGTTGATTGGCGATCGCAGTGCTGTGGGGTTTCGGAGCGACGCGCAGATAATGTTCAAAGGATGAGCGTGTGTCGGTCAGGAAATATGTACCAGTGTCATAGGGGGTGTATTTGCAATCGCCAGCGTCAAAGGACGCATGCCATCGTTAAACTCGCCAGAGTACCGGCCCAATACACCTCCCGACTAGGGTTGTGAGACGGCTCTGTGTTCTTCACGGAACACACAACTAACGTCGCATATGCATATGAGGAGCACGTGTCGACTCTTGTATGCTATCATTGCGGGATACGACAACCTGTGTAGGCTCCCGACGAGGCATGTATAATGTATAGTGGTGCCGGCGTGTGTTGCACGCTCTATTCATACTGCTGAACTTATTTCAGCGCCACCATAGTACCTTCCTGTCGTTCCCATACAACGACTGCTGCTGTATGCATATGCAGACACTGCTGTACCTACTGCTGTAGAATATGTGCTGCTGC